ATATGTTGCACAATGTTAACAAGAATGTAAGAAAAAGACTACTCTTGGTTGGTTTGAATACAGTCTACTTCACTGATACTGAAACAGGCATCGATTTCCTGGGCTCCAGTTTGCTGATAGGGCTGGTGTAATCCTCCAGTGGGTCCAGCTGCAAAGGTGAACTGTCACATTCCTGACACATTCAGTCCTGCTGTTATTTATTACTCCTTTTTACTTGCAGTATTGTGTAAAAGTCTCAGTCAACCCATAAATTCCTTTTATTTTGCCTCCAAAAAGCGAAAATTGTATCTTTAGGCACTTATTGCTAGCAGCCTATTGCAAAAACACAGAAGTTGTTCCCATTTGCTTAGTTGAATCTGTGAAAAGTGCCGATGATAACCACATTTAACGGTCATAAAATTATACTTTTGCACCAACAAAGTGATTCCCAAAGAACTATTTGGCAAACACTTGGTATATCTCTTCATGGTGCGCAGTGTGTGCTTGGAAAATTTCAAGAAACTGATCAAAGTCAGGAGTTAAAAAGAAAAAGTGGCAGGCCTAAAAAAACAGCAGAAGATGAACAATATCTGAAGGTCATGTACTTAAGAAATAAGAAACAATCCAGTAAAGACCTGACTGTTCACTTAAGGTTAATCAGAAATGGTCTCAGTGAAAGTGTGACTGTCAAGAAGCCATTTTTAAGGGAAGGAAACAGGGAGAAAATGGTCAAACATGCCTCATTACACAAGAACTGGACTGAAAATCTTTGGCAATGGGTCTTATTGAGTGATGACTATATCAGTTTGTATGAAGGAGGTCAGGAGAGAGGCAGGGAGGGTCTGCATCTATCTGTGAAACAGTTTCAGCAGGTGGTGTTAAAGGTCTTTTAAAAATTGATGGAATTATGAACGCAGAAAACTACAGTCAGAAGATCCACCGTGCAATACCATCTGGAAAGTATCTGATTGACAACGGCTTCATTTTTCAGAATTCTTCAGCATGACAATGAATTCAATCCTTAAACTGTTCAAAATTTGCCTCTGAAAAGCAGTATTATGTAGCTATTAAACTGTTTGCCCTTACACAGACCTTCATCCTATTCCATTTTTTATAATATCCAATTAGGTTCCTGAATTGCTGAAAATTAACCGCACTGGCTGTGCATTTTTCTCTCTCACTGGTTTTAAACTGTTCTGAATTGAAGTTTAACTTCCTTGCACAGCATTTTATTTGGTTTATATTTACATTTTTAACAGGTTTGTATCATTGGGCTCATCCTCTCACCTCTAAGTAATCAAGAAATATAACCGTGGCCCAACAGAGGGTGCTCTACATACACAAAACTGCCTGTGCAGAAGCCCAGAGGGTAATCTGCCTCACAGATAGAGAGAGAGAGAGCCAGTAAAACGCTGACTGTTTCCACTCTCTGTTCAGCTAGAATGAGCTCCTTAGTAATATAATTGCTAATGAGATGAGTAAGACCCAGGTCAGGTTTGCAAGGATTTAACCCCTCTCCGGAAAACTGACCCTTCACCCACTTGGGTCTCCCAGCTACAACTTCTATTGTCTTTGTGTAAAGGTTTGTGTGTGCCACAAAAGGAAAGAAGACATTCAGGAAGCAGCAGTGTGTTTTATGAATGCATATATTTTAAGTTCCACAACAAACTGTAGAAATAGTGGTCAATTTTATGCATGTGCATACATGTTTTTTCCGCTTCCTGCAGCAACAGCAGCAAGCATGCAGGTTATAGTGTCCTGTGCTAAATGCCTTTGATAGAAAAGCCTTGGCAATTCTGCAATCCTATTAGTCGCTGGCTTAGATCCTTCTGTGTCCCCAAGGAGGACAAATTTACTTCCTCTCACTCATCTCACCCAATCTATCATTCACATCTACAGCCTTCCACCTCCTTCTACCTCCATGCTAACGCCATCGGTGGAAAAAAAAGAGATAAAAATAGCCACATGTATACCATTATAAGAAAGTAGGAGTTTAGGAGTAGGGCATGTATGCTAGGAAGGAGGGATAGGAATGTGGGAAAATTATGTGAGGAAATAAAGAAAACATGCAAAAATACAACAAAGGATGCAAAAGAATTGCAATTGACTTTCCAGACATGCAGCCACAAATGATGGCCTGAGAATGAGCCGAGGCTGCGGGACACAGGAAAAGGCATGGACGAGGAAAATGATAGGGGCTAAATAATTGAATAGATGCCATTAGTGACTCATGGTGTGGCGAAAGAAGAGTGGGCTGTAGTTTGCTTGTTACAGGATGATAAAAAAAATGAATGTGAGTGTATGGAAAGATCATGCAGTGTCACAAGAATGGCAGATTCATAATTCAGGCTGATGACTTTACTATTTCTTTTCAAATATCTTGAAGTTGTTAAATACACATGCTTCACATTGTAAATCAACTATTTTCAAGGCCAAATATGAACTAATCCACACAGTTTGAGAGTTGCAGTAGCAACCTGGTGGCAGATTAGTGAAGGCTTCTCTTTCAGTGACCTGCTTTCCTGAGTAACCTATGGAGTGACGTGGAAATAAGCTCTTTTGGAGCTAAAGCCAATTTGCCCCCAAAGATTAGGGCAGATCTGTCTGAGCAGGCCAAACACACATCCTACCTCTGCCTATCTCTCTCTCTGTCACACACACGCACACCTATAAGAGCTCTTTCCATTGTACAGATGGAAACAGGAGAGATGAAGTAAGTAGGACAGAGGGAGAAAGTTGGAGGATGGATGATGGGAAGACTAGCTTCTGGTAGTTTAGCAGATGATTTGCAGCTGAATGCACGGACGCTCATGCCAAAACTAGCACAAAGACACACAAACACAATCTATGGGGTGCTGACATTGTCTTTATTTCAGTTATATGTGCAGCCAGGGAAAGCTGTGTCTCTTCTGTTTTAATAAGACAATCCTTTTCCTTAAAAAAAAAAAAAGACGAAGCTCTTCTCAAGACGACTTTCCCCGTCCGTTCTACGTGGCAGTGAGACAATACTGAGCTGTACATTAATCTCTTATTCTTGCACCTCAGCTACATTGCACAGCAAAAAGAAAGAACGACCCACAGAAATGTGTATTATAACAAAGATAATCATAAATTAGCGTTGACTCTATAAAAAAACCCTACAATTTCACCGCCCCCCTCGAAAGTATTTAAAACCAGGTTTTTAATCCACAAAGCACATAAAGAAAATAGTGTATCACTCTGTAAATGCAGCACAGGTAAATAAAGTCAGAGAAGACAGTGAGATTTGAAGTCTGGTAGATGGTGCAGGTGACTGCAAAGAGTTGATGGCAGATAATGAAGAGACATGTTTTTTTGTTTCTTTGATAGCCATGTTAAGGTAAACTAAGTATTTGTAAACAATGATAACCCCCCAAACCAAAAAAGGAAAAAAAAAGAAAGATCAGAGTTTTGCATGTTTTCTCCCCTCGTTAACAGTTTAAATGAATTGATACTCATTGAAAGCACTAGAAAATAAATTAATTTAGCTTATTTAACGCTATTAAGCTTTTAAACAGTACTGGAATTGAGAGTACAAAAGTTGGAGGTGGATTCCGGTTGAAAGTAAGTGGATGCTGAGCAGGATGCGGTTCCTTTATTATTTTTGTCCTACTATGGTCCAAAACAGAGCTGGACAGAGGAACGGGGGGTGGGCCTACATGAACAGCAATTTTCTTTTCTTATCTGGATTTAATTACAAAAGAAAACTGTCGTGGAGACAACCGACACTCTCGTTCCCTCAAAACCAGAACCATTTACAGACACACCCAGTGAACACACACTGCTAACCATTCACTTCATCAAGTTGGTCCCTAATCACATCCATCCACTTTATTTGCAGGGATGATCGTCTGGTTTGAACTCTGTTTATCCCTCCCCTCCCTCTTTCTCTGGCCCATAAAATAACTGTCTGCTTTTCGCAAAGCAAGCCCCGTTTCCTGCTTTACTCCCTTTTCGCTCTTCCTTTCTTTTGCCTCTTTCCGTTGTCCTCCTCATCGTCCTCCTCCTCTTCCTCCACTTTGCTATGACCATTAGCCACCACAGAGGAGCCGTTTGTTATGGGCTTCCCTCCTTTCCGAGAAAAGGCAGGCTTGCGTCGATATGCGTGGTAGTAGAAGTTGGCGAAGAGGATGATAAAGGTGACGGCGTAGCCAATCAGAGCCCACTGCATCCAGCAGGGGAACGGACAGCCGGTGTAGAGGGAGTGGCCGGCGTGGCCGATGGTTACGTGGAACTGGATCTGGTGAGTATGTAAGAAAAAAAGATTAAAAAGACACAGAAGAAGCAGTCTGAATTTTTGAATATACAACTACC